AATGAGAAAAACATTTTCAAATAGGACAATCTCAAATATGAAAGGTCTGTAAAGCCAAAGCTCGAGAAGTAAATGGGGTACGATGGATTACAAGGACCATATTGGCAGACAAAACACGAGACTCCAATCCAAGAGATAAACTCATTCATGTTACATGCATCTTAGGCATACTTAAGAGCATCACATTTATTATTTTTAGCATACATGATTTTTTACATCTTTTAGAGTCAAGTTTCGACTTCAAGATGAATGATACTCTATTCAAAAACACCTTTAAAGATTGACGGTGGTTGCTTAATTCAGTAGCAAGAATCTACACCTCAACCAATTCGACAGATTGAAAGATCGATAATTAACTTCAGATGAGTTCGAGAACCAGTTCAGAAAGTGTCCAGTTCAGATTAACTCAACGACGAGTGGCTAGTTCCCGATTAACGTTTTCAAGCCAGATTTCAATTCCACGACGGAAGATATCCGACTGGCAGAATTTATCAGTGGACTTTCCTGTGAAGGCGAGTCATCCAAAAATCAGATCACTTGGTTCAGACCCACTCAGGGGAACCACCTGAAGAATTATGACAGGCTTAGACCGTGAAAGGAAACCAATTTTTTCTATTTGCAGCATAACTCAAGGCTAGAAGGGTTATCTTCCAACCAAAGACCTTCGAGTTCGACTAAGCTCAGCTTCGAGGGCACATCATTTACAGCATAACTCAAGGCTAAAAGGGTTATCTGTCACCAAAGACCTTCGAGTTCAACTACGCTCAACTCCAAGGCACATCATTTGCAACATAGCTTAAGTCGAGAAGGGCTATCTGCCAAAGACCTTCGAGTTCGATTACACTCAACTCAAAGGCACCAACATTTGCAGCATAACTTAAGGCAAGAAGGGTTATCTGCCAACCAAAGACCTTCGAGTTTGACTATGCTCAGCTCCAAGGCATATCATTTACAGCATAACTTAAGTCGAGAAGGGCTGTCAAAGACCCTCAAGTTCGATTATACTTAGCTTCGAGGGCACATCAATTACAATATAACTCAAGGCTAGAAGGGTTATCTGTCACTAAAACCTTCAAGTTCAACTACGCTCAGCTCCAAGGCATATAATTTACAGCATAACTTAAGTCGAGAAGGGTTATCTGCCAACAAAAGACCTTTGAGTTTGACTACGCTCAGCTCAATGACACATCATTTGCAGCATAGCTTAAGTCGAGAAGGGTTATCTGCCAAAGACCCTCAAGTTCGATTATACTCAGCTTCGAGGGCACATCATTTACAGCATAACTCAAGGCTAGAAGGGTTATCTGTCACCAAAGGACCTTCGAGTTTGACTACGCTCAGCTCTAAGGCATATCATTTGCAGCATAACTTAAGTCAAAAAGGGTTATCTGCCAACCAAAGACCTTAGAGTTCGACTACACTCAGTTCTAAGGCACATCATTTGTAGCATAGCTTAAGTCGAGAAGGGCTATCTGCCAAAGACCCTCGAGTTCGATTACACTCAGCTTCGAGGCACATCATTTGCAGCATAACTCAAGGCTAGAAGGGTTATCTGCCAACAAAGACCTTTGGGTTCGATTACACTCAGCTCAACGACACATCATTTGCGGTATAACTCAAGGCTAGAAGGGTTATTTGCCAAAGACCTTTGAGTTCGACTACGCTCAGCTCCAAGGCACGTCATCTACAACATAGCTCAAGGCAAGAAGGGCTATCTGTCAATAAAATTATCGATTTTGATTTCATTCAGCTCGATGACACCTCAATCACACTACTGTCTGGCTGTAATCGAGGTTTTCAAAGTCAGAAAGAAGACCTGGGTTAACCGTGCCTTAGTGACAAAAACCCATTTTTCGGCAGTATAACTTAAATCAAGAAAAGCTATATGTCAGCGAAGACCTTTTGAGTTCGATTTCATTCAGCTCGAGGGTCTGTCAACCAGAGGGTGGAATTAAAGAATTACTTTCCAGTCAGATTTTTAAACCAAAGTCTTTAAACCGAGAAGAAGATCGAAGTTGACTACAATTTGGCAATGAGAAGCCACGTTCCAATTCAAATTCTGGACTACGGCTTCAATTCCATATCATTTCAAGATGGACTCGACTTCGCGATGGAGGAGCCATCCGCAACCCAATTCGACATGAGTTATTCTTCAACTCCATCGAACGAAAATTTGTATCTTTTTATCTTTGTCCTATTTTTTGTTCCATGAAAAAGGACAAAGAGGGGCAGCTGTAGACACTAATTTTCGTCCACGTATTTTTTTATATGCATATATATATATATATTATATAGTTTGTAAATGATTTTTTAAAGTATGTATATAATATATAGCTTTAAAACATTTTGAAAATATATATAATATATAGTTAAAAAAACATTTTTGAAAACTATATACTATATAGTTTTTAAAACATTTTGAAAAATATATAGTTTTAAAAACATTTTTGAAAACTATATAATATATAGTTTTTAAAACATTTTGAAAATAAATATATAATATATAGTTTTTGAAAAACATTTTGAAGACATATATAATATATAATTTTTAAAACATTTTTTAAAATCATAGTTTTTAAAAACATTTTTGAAAATTATATAGTTTTTTAAAAATATTTTTGAAAATGTATATATAATATATAGTTTTTAAAAGAAACAATTTTAAAAATGTATATTATATAGTTTTTGTTTTTATGTTATGTTTTGTTTGTTGTTCAGAGTCCAGGGTCCAAGAATCCAATCCAACGTACGGGTCCAACAACAGGGCCTGACCCAAACTAGAAATAAAAGATTAGGGTTTCCACGCCGCAGCAGATCATGGACCGTTGGATCTGACCCAATCCTACGGTCGAGATCAAGGGTTATAGAGGATCGAAAGTCACCAGTCGGCCGAGTATTTCGACGATATGCAGCACCAAAATCGGAACTACTCAGATTGAACCATCCGAGATCACCGAGAACAACCCCAAAACAGACCCCCATCGAGGCTTATAAATACAGAACGGTACCAAACCACAAAGGGGACACGACCATTATCACCAAAATAACCCAACACAGTCAACACAAAAAGATCAACACAGAGCCAAGAAACGCAACAATAATATAACCACAAACCATTACAACATCAAAAACCCTATAAAACCACAACAAAAATCAGAACATCAACCACAAAGCCACGAAGTGCCATCGGGAGTCGAAGAGTCGAGACGTTGGTTTTAAAGGGTAAAAAAACCCAGAACTTGCGCTTAGATCTATGCCATTTTGGGGATCTTTATGGGATTTGAGCTTTAGATCCGTGTTTGAGGCGGTAGAGGAGAGCGTTTTGTGGGAGTTTAGATGTGGCCGGCGCAGCGGAGAGACCACCGGGTGGTGGTCAGCTTTCGACCGGAAAGGAGATTAGAGAGAAGCGGGAGAGAAATATGTGAAGAGGGAGAGGGGAGATTGTGAAATGGGAAGCTTAAGCCAAATTTTTGGCTTAAATAGGTGGCCCACGGACTCGGTTCAGACTTGCGCGTCAACCTATACCCGCAAAGGGATCCGTGCGTTTTCTTATTAAAAAAGGGTAAACTATGTTTTCGGCCCCCTGGTTTGTAATTAAAATATTTGACCCTTAATTTTAATTTTTATCCGAATTCCTCTTCATTTCACCCTCTGCTTATTATTATTTCAATTTAGTCCTTTTGTTTTATATATATATTATATATATATTATATATATTATATTATATTATATTATATTATATATATATATTATATTATATTATATTATATTATATTATATTATTATATTATATTATATTATATTATATTATATTATATTATATTATATTATATTATATATATTATTATTATTATTATATATTATATTATATATATATATATTTATTATATTATTATTTTCTATTATATATATTTATATTATTTAATCATTTTTATTTTCTTTTTATTTTATGTCTTTTATATTTATTTAGTTTTTTCCTTTTTTAAAATAACCTTCTTATTTTTTTTATTTTCTATTTTTTTACTAACTTAGGTTTCTCTTTTCCATTTATTTTTAATTTATTATTCTATTAATATACGTATGTATATAATTTTTCCCCTTTTCCTTTTTTTCCTTCGTATTGGTTTTATTTTACCAGCTAATATTTTCAGCGATAATTTCAATCGATCAAAGGTAAACAATTCGAATCGAATTTTTAAATTTTAATTTAAAATCTTAATTTTCGCAATTAAGGACAACCGATAAATTAATTGATATCGAAAGGACGGTTCAAGGGTGCTAATCCTTCCTTGACCGTAATCGATTCCTGAACCTGACATGTTTCTGGTACAACTCAGATCAGATAAGATGATGTCCGACCCACCTAAATTCGTTTTAAAATGGTCGGTGGCGACTCTCATTCGTTTAATCTAAGTCGAAGCCCAATTTCGGGCCCAACCGAAAGACGACCGCGACACTATGCATTTCTTTTTCTTTCATTTCCAAATTTTAAGTGACGAACCCATTTTTTAAGTGTAACGGGATACATTTTCAATTTAAAATTATCAAAAGTATATCTCTAATAAGTTAAGACAATCCACTCAAAACAATTTTAAATTAAAAGAGTATTACCCTAAATCCAATGTAATGATGTCTAAGTTATGCACATGAGTGTAACATGCAAAATACAAGACTATATTAATTAATAAAATGAATCAAAAATGTCAAAGCAAATATAAATACATATAAAATAATACTAACAAAGTAAAAAAATAAACTTTAAGATTCAATAAGAAACATATATTATAATATTTTTGAGGAATAAAATAAAATACGCGTATAACATGAAGGTAAAATTAGAAGGTTCAAGAAACATGAATTTGGAGGACTAGAATGCACTAAATAAAAACAGGCGTGGCTCCCTCAGAAATAAATCCACGCAAACTGATCACCCCAAAACGCTGCCGTTTTGGTGCGTGATATATATAATATTTAGATGAAATTTCTTTTACCCTAGCCCGCATTTCACTTCTCTTTACTTTCTTTCAAAGGTCTCCCCTGCGCCGCTTCTCTCCTCCTTCGTCCCGTCTTCTCTTTTCATCATTCTGGCCAGGTAACCACCGAGGCCACCATGGCCTTCCTCCCCTACCGACCGCCGCCCAAATCGATCATCTAAGCCCAAAAGCGAACCTAAACTTACCCGAACCTCAACCTTCTATAATTTTATCTGTTTCTCCAACTCTCTCTTCACTCTTCTTCACGGCCGCCCGACAAAAGTAGCCACCGCGCCTACCACCCCAAATCAAACCCGATAAGGGGTTAAATAAACCCCCTAATCAAACTTTCATTGAAAAGCGCCAAACCTAGCTATAGTTCCCTCAACCAATCTTCTCAAAAGCTACCCGAAACCCACTGTTTGGGATTTAACCACCTGACCACTCCGGCCATGGGAGCTCGCAACACTAAGGTAAGAACCTAACCCTTATCCACTTCTGTTTTTTATATTTTGAAAACCCGACGTATGAGAACTAAACTAAGTAAATAACATGCAAGGATTCGAAAAACTTACAGCACTCTTACCAACCTTCGGCGACGATCCAAACTCAGCAAGGTAAATGGATCTCTCTAATTTCTATTTATTTTCGAAATAATACGCACTGGAAAACGAAAAGAAAAATCGAAGGAGAATACCTAAAAAAAAAAAATCAGTCTTTCTATTGCTTTTTTCCTTTTTTCTTGACAATGGTAGGATTGCACTTTCTTTTTCTTTTACATTGATTTCCTGTGTAAATTTAAGGGAAATATCGAGACCCCCCTCCCCTGGTTACAACGAAAACCCCCTTACAATTCCCTCTGCCTTTCTCTAAAATGCTCCCCTTGACATTCTTTCATTCACGTGCTATACACCCCCTTATTACAATTTTTTCTTCACCTAATCCCTTTGGTTTTTTCCCTTTTTTCTTCATTGCTTGATTTGGTGAAATGCTGATGGGATTTTTGTTTTTGACTTTTTCTCAGTTTTCGGTGGTTAGCAGGTTGAGACGATGGTCCGGACAAAACGAGCATCTACGATCAGTTTAGTTGATAAAAAAAAGTCAACTCCGAGCTCAAGTTCCAAAATCTGCATTTTCTACGTAACCACTATGCTCAAAGTCTGGAAACTCTTTTTCTACAATGAACAAAGAAGTTATAAATTTAATACTATTTTGCAACAATACTAAATATCCTCCAATTACTATAACTTTGTATTTAAGATGCATATGTATATATCATTTCCAGATTCATGCTGAATACCTTTAAGATGGAGATTTAACTTTAAAACTTTTAGCTGCTACCTGACAGTTTGTTTGGAATAATCATTAAATTTTATTGAAATATTATAGAATTATCATTTTAAAAAATATTATAATATTACAGTAATTATTTTATGAAAATTCAATGTATCTAGTTATTATTTTATAATTTTAAAAGTTTAATGATCAAATTAAAATAAGAATTTGACTGTAATACGATAATCTCACATAATTTACAATAATTTAAATTATATATTTTACATTTACGGAGGAATCTTGATTCATCGCAATTTTTTTTAATCAATTTGTACAACTATTTTTGTTTATAAAAATCCTTACGTGTTAGGCAGGGAATGTAGGTGAACAAGCGGTGAATAAAATAGTAAGGATATTTAATAAATGAACTGAAACAATAAATAATTTACACATCGGTTTATTAGTTTAGGGTTTAAATTTTAAACAATTATTTTAAATTATTTTATTTAAAAATAAAAGATATATATTATAATTATATTCCAAAACTAAACAGGTAGCTCCAAAACTGTAGTGCAAAGAGATTTTAAAATCAACATAGTCAACAAAAGACAGGATGTATGCCAGTTTGAACTGGCAAAATGAAACATGGTATTGCATGTGCTGCTGACGCATCGGATTGGAAAATAATAATTTCATGCAAATAACGTTGAATTGGAATTCCATGCTTAATAATTATAAAACGTGAGCTCAATTTCATTATTTTCAAACAAGAAGAAGAGATGAGGAAGACTATTTCTAATCCTACACCATGTAAGAAATATCCTTTCGCTTCCATTTATTTGAACTGTAATGATGGAAATGGCATCTCTTTTTTTACTATTAGAAGAATTAATGCATGCATTTGTCATTGCCAAATGTGACGAATGCCGATGAGCAAGTGCTGGTGAAGGAAAAGGTTAAAAGGAAACTAGATTTCAGACAGGAAGGAAATTAATAAATGTCTTCTGTCTTGTTTGTTTCTTCAAAGCTACATTGTGTCAAGGGTTTGGTTATAGTGTCACTGAAAATTGGGAAATGAAACTTTCAACATATAAAGATTGAATCTTTGAGGAGATAAGGAATGGAAGATAATTTGTTTATTTCAGCCAATAAGGCTATTTTTTGGTGTTGGATTAATTTCTCTGATTGGATTTTGTATTGCAGTTGTGACATTAATGTTGTGGATCGCCATCTCATTTCTCTTCTTTCTGGTCTCCCCTGCTGCTTCAACTTTGGATGGTAGTGTAAATGACTCCACAAAACAGAGACGTGAGCAAATCGTTGCACGTCACGGTGCAGTTGCTGCAGATGACGGCCGATGTTCAATGATCGGGACGAATGTTCTCCGGATTGGGGGGCATGCTGTTGATGCAGCAGTGGCTGCTTCCCTTTGCTTGGGAGTTGTTAGCCCAGGATCAAGTGGTATAGGTGGAGGATCCTTCATGCTACTCAGGGAAGCCAATGGGAAAGCACAAGTATTCGACATGAGGGAAACAGCTCCGATGAAAGCCTCCGAGGTTAACATCAAATCGATTGACAGAATTTACTAGTTTCTTCGTATTTTGTCATTAATCATTCCACTTTTCTCCCTATTCAGAACATGTTTGTAGGCAATGCTACTCTAAAAGCCAGTGGTGGGCTATCTATAGCAGTGCCAGGACAACTTGCTGGCCTTCACAAAGCTTGGGAACAACATGGAAAGCTTCCATGGAAAAGGCTGGTGAAACCTGCTGAGACTCTTGCTCAAAAAGGGTTCAAAATTTCCCCGTATCTCCGCATGCAAATGGAAAGTTCGAAATCATCAATATTGGCAGATAAGGGGCTTCTCCATGTTTTCGCACCAAATGGGGAGCTTTTGAAAGTTGGTGACATATGCTATAATAAGAAGCTAGCGGAAACTCTACACTACATTTCAGTATATGGGGTAGCAGCTTTCTATAATGGATCCATTGGAGCTAATTTGGTAAAAGATATTGAAAATGCCGGCGGGATATTGACATTAACGGACCTGAAGAAGTATGAAGTTAAAATGAGGGAACCAGTTTCAGCTAACGTTCTAGGCCTCGAAATTCTTAGCATGCCACCGCCTTCCTCCGGGGGAGCATCAATGGCACTAGTAAGTATATGTAGTTCATGCTTTGTACATAGGAATTCATTCATGGTTACCTTATCATAGTTAGGCTGCTTGTAATTTAAATTTATCTTCTTGTAACATATATTGAACATTCTTGCACAATATGCAATCCCAAGCGGCCTTTCAGGATCACTGGGAACCCATAGACTAGTTGAAGCCTTGAAACATGCGTTTGCAGTGAGGATGAATTTAGGTGATCCTGAATTTGTCGATGTTACCAAAGTAGTAGCCGATATGCTCTCTCCCAAGTTCGCACAAGAGTTAAGGAAAACCATTTACGACAACACCACTTTTGGCCCCAAAAACTATGGTGGCAGGTAAAAGTAACCACAATTGCCAAATAACCATTATATTCTGTTCCATGTATCCCCATGCTTGCTTTCTTCCATGTCTATTAACTTTGATGGTGGCTGGTGGAACCAGATCAATGATCATGGCACAAGCCATGTATCCATAGTGGATGCTAACGGAAATGCTGTATCAATTACTAATACGGTGAATGCATTCTTTGGTTCAAAAATACTTTCACCAAGCACCGGTATAGTCCTCAATAATGAAATGGATGACTTCTCCATGCCAAGTAATAATACCTCTGGAAATACGCCGCCGGTGGCGCCGTCCAACTTCGTCCGCCCCGGCAAAAGGCCCTTGTCGTCAATGACTCCTACTATTGTTTTGAAGGTTTGCTGATTCAAAACATGATATAACATCTATAAAACATTGCTTTTCATTCATGTGATTCTACAGGATGGGAAGCTGAAAGCCTTGGTGGGTGCAAGTGGAGGAGCTAATATCATTGCTGGGACTACACAGGTTTTCTTGAATCATTTTGCTCTTGGGATGGATCCACTCTCCTCCGTTATGGCACCAAGGGTCTACCATCAGGTTATTTTTCACTGAAACCTCTTGCCATCGACTATCTGAGATTGCTTTTCTTGATTTTCTTATATAGTTTTCATTGTGTGTTGATGCAGCTGATACCCAATGTTGTGATGTATGAGAACTGGACAACTGTGATTGGAGACCATTTCGAAGTTCCTGCAACAATAAGGAGTGACCTTCAAAAGAAGGGCCATGTCCTACAAGTCTCAGCCGTCTCAACTGTTAGCCAATTTATAGTTCATAATTTAGATGGGTTGAAGGGAAATGGAGAGCTTGTGGCAGTTAGTGACCCTAGAAAAGGAAGGTTCCCTGCCGGTTTCTGATTCCCTGTTTTGTGGGACTGTGGTAGATGTCCTCCAGGTTGTGTGAGATTATCCTAAAAATTGAGAATAAATCCGCTGATATTCGGAATATTTATTAAAATATTTAATTATATATATATACATATACTACATATAGTAATTAGTCAAAAAAAATATATTGGTTTAGGATTATTTTTAATAAGTAATATTTTTTGAATTAATTACTTATATCCGATCTATTGATCGTCTAATTTAGATCGGTTATTGCAGAGGTAAGAATGACTCTCCTAACCTAATTTGTTTCATTAGCAAACCTCAGGGTTTGAACCTCTAACCTTGCACAGGTTCTTATATTTTTAATATATGTATATATATTTAATTTATTTAGTAATTTAATTTTTATATTAATTTTTTAAAATCTTTTTATATTTTAATTTTTAAATAATTTTATTTTTAAAATATTAAATAAGTCTCTAAATTTTAAAAAATTCAAATTTAACTGTCAAACAAGACTAAAAAAATTAATTTAGTTTATCTGTCATATTATACGTCATATCATCAATCAATCAATATGATTTGTCATGTCAGTATTATAAATTGTCACATTATCACAATGAATTGTCATATTCATATCGTAATGATTTTTGACGAAAACATTGATTAAAGAGTTACATTGGGTGAAGTGAGGAATTCAAAAATATATTATTGACTAACCTAATATAAATATAATAGAAAGTTTATCTAATATTTCTCATATATATAATTTTTTTCAATTTTTAAATTTAATAACTAAAACTAGTATAATTACATGTTTTAAAAGAACTTTTAAATTTATGTTACCAAAATGCATAGTTCGAAATATAATATTTTCATCGAACAAGATTAACTCTCTTTTTCATAGAACCAAAATCAACTATGATCGAGACAAAATAAATAATGAATACTTTTGATTGAATAAAATAAGATATAAAGAATATCTTTTAAATTTTTATTATAATCTTGTAAGTGATGTTGAAAAATTATTTAACAAATGCTAATAACACCACAAGTTTATAAGTAATTAAAGAACAAAATAAAATTAAAGTATGAAAATTCAGAAAAAAAGTAATAAAAAACATGCAGATCATCAAAATTTTAAAATTTTAATTAAGATACTTGATTATCTTCATGTTTTAAAAAGAACTCTTTGAATTTGAAAAGTACAAAATAAATATAAGTTATAAGATTTTGAAGTGATAAAATTATAGTTAAAATTAAAATTAAATATGACTCTAATTAATTTAATTTTGATTAAATAGAATTATAATTAAAATTATATTTAATAAAATTATATTTTTTCTCTTAGTATAAGATTTTGAAGAGAAAAAAATTATAGTTAAATTTAAAATTAAATAGGACTCTAATTAATTTAATTTTGATTAAATAAAATTAAACTAAATTCAAATCTTATAAAATTATAAAAAAATTATGTTTGTATGGGGGCCTGGCCTAGGCAGGCTCAGGCCTACTTCCGCCCATAATTGGGTGTAAAAATAATTCGACAATCATATAAATTTTTAAAAGTAGATCAACTTCAGATATCTTTTTATTTACTTTTCATCTTCTTTTCATAGCTTAGGATAACTACAATATAATATATGTTTAAAATCATTCTTAAATATTAAAAACATATACACAATCATAAATATAATTACTTAAACTCAATATGTAACATCCTCAATATCGGGTTAGTGATTAAAGTGTATGCTTTTAAAATTCAATGATTAGATTAAATAAATTGAAAAGTGAAGGAATTTAATTGAAATGTTTGGTGTAGGATGATTTAACAAATGAAGGAGAAGTAAAAGGGTAAATGAGTCATTGAACAAGGGGTAATAATTAAATAATTATGGTGGGTATCTTATAAACCCACGTGAATCATAATTTGGGGAAACAAGGTTTCTAGACAATTCCTTCATCTTCTTCTTCTCCCAATCGTGAAGCAACCAAGGCAAGGTAAGTTGGATTTCTTTTGGTTAATCCTTAAAATTTAAGTATGGTTTTGGTTAAGGAAGACTTAGGAAACATGATGGAGAGGAAAAAGGTCACAGAAACTCAAAGATTTGTAAGTTATGAAGGATTAAATATAAGAAGTGGATAAGTGAAATTTTGAATAAGGATGTATAAATGAATGTAGAAGTTGAATTTGACTTGTCATAGGTGTGAATAAGAAGTTATAAGTGTTAAATCAAAGTTTGGATAACATGGTAAATTGGGTATGATTCTTAACTTTAAGAATTTGGATGAGATATGGGAGATAATAAGGTGTTGGAATGATAAAAGTTAGTCAAAATTGTTGTAGTTGAGTTTAGTGGTTTGAAAAGAGTTTTATATGAGGAAATTTAATGAAAAGTTATGGAATTTTCGGGTGAAACCAGTTTATTATTGACAGGTGCATCGGTACACTATGAATGGGTACCGATGCACTAAGACCAATTTTGAAAGTGCATCGATACACACTGGCAGGCATCGATGCATGAAAATTTTGAAGCTATTTTGGGTACTGATGCACCCATAGTGCATATGTACACTCCTAAAGTAAAAAGTGAATATGGGTCTATTAAATTCGTTTAAGTTAATAGCATCGAAGTATAAGGTTTAGACGTCTGATAATCATCTTGAAAATTATATTAATGTAGATATCGAGCCTATACGAGTTCCGAAACAAGTGACAAGTAAGATTGATCGAGGGAAAGGCAAGGAGACATAGGTGAGTGCATATGCATAGCATGGTTATAATAGCCTATTAAACTCTAGACTTGTGATAAGTCTAGTTCCAATATCATTGGTACATGATTACATTTCATATTATGATACATGACATGGATTCATATTATATGTATTACGTGAAAATGATCTAAGTGAATATGTATGAAAAGTTTATATGAGCCATGTGATAAGGTAAGAAGTTATATGTCTACCCGATATAAACTATATGAATTGTGAAAGCCCATGTTATGTAGATGAGAACTATAGGTATAGCTGGCATGCCAAGAATAGAGGGTCTACGCGGTCTTTTGGGATAATTCTACGTGGTCATTCGTGACATATATGTATTCTTTGGAACATGTATGAGGTCTTTTGAGACACCTACTTGATCCTTGGTATATGTATATGATTCTTAAGAAATTTCTATGTGGTCCTTATGGACAATTTTATATGGCACTACGGTGTAATTCTACACGGCAGTTCGGTGCAAATTCTACGTGGCACTTCGGTGTGACAACATAGTGCACAACCTCACAGTACTCACATACCTCAGGTTCTCAGTATTGTATCATGGGTTATTGAACTTATTGATGTGAATTCATGATGGATAATTTAATAAGATCATGGGTAAGATAAATGGTTATGTGACTTGCATAGATTGAATATATGATTTCATGATAATGCATCTCATTATGACATTCTCAGTATATGCCTCACTAAGTCTATGACTTAGCATGTATGCATCTCATTATAACATATCTCCCCTTGAAGATCAGATCAGAAGTAAATTACACACTATGTATTATTATGTGATAAATAGGTTGGTATGTAAATAAAGTCGGTAAATTAAGTATTTATGCTCTGATCGAGTTTTGTAATGTTTATTCTTAGTAGATGTCCATACATGATAGTTCTAGAAGTGAAGCGGGAGATGATAGGCCCGCTGAAAGCAATAATTCACCTGCCCTGACCAGGCAAGGTGAAGAACAAACACCTTATGGAGTGCCTATACGTGATCAAGATCAGGACGTTAGACATTGTCCTGACACGTTTCCATCATCATGTTCCATCAACTCCCAGAGTAAATGTAGTAAAGGAGTTGAGAGGATTAGGAGCTCTCGAATTTAAGGGAGAAGTTGAGGAAGGTCTGGTTACAGAGGATTTTTGGTTAAATGATTTGAAAATCATGCTAGATAGTCTCCACTATTCTGATGTGGAGAAGTTGGATGGAGCTGTGTCTTTGCTAAGGGGACAAGCTATAATATGGTGGACGAATGTCACCATGAGGTTGTCAAGTGACCATTTGACTTGATCTCTGTTTTTAGAAGAATTTAAGCATAAGTATATTGGAGATCAGTTTATCTGGCAAATGAAGCAGGAGTTTATGAACTTGAAACAAATGAATCGCTCAGTATATGAATACGAATGTGAGTTTAATAAACTGAGTCGATTTGCAGCTGAGTTTGTTACTACAGAGAAAGACGTTTGTGAATGGTTTTTGGAGGGCTTGCGCCCTATATTGAAAGATATGTTAATAGTACTGAACTTGTCCTCGTTCCAGGAGGTGATTAATCGTTCTAAAGCACTTGAGAGAGCTTAGAATGAGAGATTTGGGGACTCAAGAGTTCAGACATCTAAGAGGACTGATGCTTCTTCAAGCATCGCACCACCAAAAAGAGGAAGAGATTCGGGATTCTGACTTCAAGCTAGATCTGAATTTGTTGCATCCTCTGCTAGAGTAACAAGTCAGACGAGAGCTAGACAAACACAATCAGTAGGATCTGATGCTTGGATATCCAATCAAGGTCAAGCAAGACAATGTCAACATTGTGGGAAGAATCATTTTGGGACATGTCGAATGGCTTCTGGAGTTTGTTTTCGATGCGGAGAGGCCGGACATTTCATTCGGGATTGCCCATTAATGGTTGGTGATCCTGCACTATCTGAAAGAAATGTTTCTACCTCACAATGAGGACGAGGAAGAGGTAGAAAGAGGAATCAATATGAATCCTCTGCACAACATGAAATTCACTCAACGACGCGAGTATACAATTTAAAGACAAGTAAAGACCGTGATGATCCCGATGTTATAGCAGGTACTTTCCAGTTGTATGATAAATTAGTATTGGTGTTGATTGATCTGGGTTCTAATTATTCTTATATTAGTAGTAAATTAGTAAAAGAATTGAGAATGACATTAGAAGTTACGAGTAATGAGGTGATAGTAACTAACCCTTTAGGGCGTAGTGCTCGGGTGAATAAAGTTTGTAAGGGATGTTCCATAAGGATTCAGAGAATTGAATTTCCT